ATTTATTTATTTATTTTTATTATGTATACAACCTTCTGCCTCCATGTATGCCTGTGTTCCAGAAGAGGGCGCCAGATCTCGTTACAGATGGTTGTGAGCCACCATGTGGTTGCTGGGAATTGAACTCAGGACCTTTGGAAGAGCAGCCTGTGCTCTTAACCACTGAGCCATCTCTTCAGCCCTCCTTGTTTCCCTTTTAATTCTGTCTGGGACACCAGAGTACGGATGGTGCCACCACCCAGAAGTGTGCCTCCTGGGTAATTTCAAATCCAGTCTGGTTGTCAGTAAAGAGGAACCATCACACCAACAAAGACATATCAACGTCTCTCTGACACTCTTAGGCATACTAGGTTTCCTGTGTTCTAGCCACTCACGGTTGTCGGCAACGAGATCTTTATTTCCAACTTCCCTAGATTTCTTCAGTCAGTCTTTCCAGTTTCAGCCTCCTCCCCAAAAGAACCCATCTCCAGATTCCCGACTTTGACTTCTATCCCTGTCTGTATAGAATGTATACTCCCATTCAATTCGTACACATGACCCTAGAAAGCCACTGTATTTGGAACCAAAACCTAAAAGAGGTAGCTAAACCTATACTAGGCCATACGGTGGAGTTCTAGTCTGACAGGACCGACTATGTGTCTTCTGTGGGTGCATGTGTGCAGATCAGAGGCAACCCTGTGTGTCTTCTGTGGGTGTGTATGTGCAGATCAGAGGCAACCCTGTGTGTCTTCTGTGAGTGCATGTGTGCAGATCAGAGGCAACCCTGTGTGTCTTCTGTGGGTGCGTGTGTGCAGATCAGAGGCAACCCTTACCTGCCACTTTGAGATATGGTCTGTTGTTCACTGCTGCTTCGTGTCAGACTAGCTGACCCTTGAGCTTCTGGCAATTCTCTTGCCTCAGTTTCTTTTCTTCCTGTAGGGTGGCATTGGGATTACAGACGCTCACACTACAGTGTTCAGCTTTTTCATGGGATCTAGGGATCCAAACTCAGGTCATCAGGTGTGTACAGCAAGTGCGTTACTGTAGTGGGACTTTCTTGTTGGACTTTCTCTTGGGGACCGCCAGCTCCCAAATACTGACATGGAGACTTGTTATTAATTATGAAAGCTTGGCCTTTAGCTTAGGCTTGATCCAAATTAGCTCTTCCAACTCAAACTATCCTGTTTCTATTAATCTACATTCTGGCACGTGGCTTTTTACCTTTCTTCCATTCTGTATGTCCACCTCCCTTCATGTCTTGCTGGCATCTCTCCACCTCTCTTCTTCCCAGAGTTCCTTTCTCTCCCCTGGAAGTCCCTTCTATCCTCTCCTGCCTAGCCACTGGCCATTCATCTCTTTAGTAAACCAATCACAATGACCTTTCTTCACACAGTGTAAACAAAAACCCTGCAACACTTTACCCTCTTAGCCATCGTCCCAGTTTTTTGACAGGGTCTTGCTGAATAGTTCTGACTGACCCGGAACTATGTAGATCAAGCTGGCCTCAGACTTGGGGCTGTTGTTCTGACTCAACTCCCAAGCACTGAGATTACAGCTTCCACCATGTCCAAAGAGTTGAAATCCTTGTATGAAAAGGGGCATCAGAGACCTCTCCCATCTCCACTTGATTAGCTATTCTATCCTCTTGTGTGTGTTTGTTCATTTACACATTGATGCAGGGTCTCATTGTGCAGCCACAGCTGGGCTGGAACTTGCTATAAAGACTCATGGGAATCCTCTTGCCTCTGTCTGTGCTGGGATTCAAGGCTGCACCACTC